TTTGTTCCAGTGGGTATGAGGCAACAATGTTCCATGCAGTTGGTTCAGCAGCATTTTTGGGGGGAGGGGGCTTCGCTTTAGTGAATTAGTGGCTGATTGAAGAGGGATGGGTCTGGCAGGCTTTCACAATGGATGGTTTGGTTCTAATGGGCTGCTGGACCATTATTAGCATTCTGTCTCCAAAACTGACAGGAAAAGGACAGGATATTATGTATGCTGACCCTGAGGTATGACTGGTCTGAATCCTTCAAGTTTACATGTAGCTTTGTGGTCACAGGCGAGGCCCTCTATTTTTCTATATGGATTATTCCCTCTTATGAAATACCAGTTTTGATCTACTATCCCCAAAGCCTTTGAAACATTTGGGTTTTTATGCGGCATGAAATTTGGGTGCATGTTTCCATATAGGGCAACTTCAATGGCTTTGGCCATGGACATGGTCTCACAGGACATGCAGCACCAGCCAGTGGAGGTCAGATGTGTTTAAAAGATATGTTCATTCTCTTAAGCATTGATTATTCCATTAACGTGTTTCTCTTTAGTTCCCAAATTCTACTTTCCAAGACATTGGCTCCTGATTTCTGGCCACAGCATGGTATATTGGGTGGCAAGAAAGGCCCACAATGGTCATTTCAGGGAGCAGCTCAGTCAAGGTGGGCAGACCACAGTGGAGTGGTGTGGTAGGAGAGACCTGTGTTGGAGAGATTTATTACCCTTGTTGTTTGGGGAAATACTCTGGACTGCCTCCCAATGTTTTAGTCATTCACCTGGGTGACTTGTGCCTCCTTAAGGGCAAAGCACTGATTTATCAGGCTTTGCATGACTTTCAGACTATCATGGATAATTGACCTGGGTGTCCATCACTTGGCTGGTTCTTCCCCGCCAAATTTGGCAGGGTGAGGGGTCCTGTAGAGAACTGGACATGGCTTGCAGATGAGTGAACAGAGTAATCTAAAATGCTTTGTGTAGGGGTTTGGGCCATTTCCCCCCTCATCTTGAAATCATATTTGAATGACCTGAGCTGTCCAGAACTGTTCATTTGTTGGAAGAAGGCAATTTGATTTTCCTGTGGGATTTGTAAACAGTGAGGGCTGTTGTGGCCAGCCTGTGGAGGAAAGGGACTGAAGTAGAGGCATGTCCCTTGTCCATGGCAGGTTGTGGTGAGGGTTAGCCTCTGGAGCTCCCTCCACAGGGCATGGTTTGTAGAAAGGAATCTGCCCTTGGGACTGATCTAGGGTGCTCTCTCTTATAAAGTCATGGGGCTTAAGAGAGTGCCCTCTAGGTTTTGGCCTTCCAAAGAGGTCTATCCAAGATAGCAACCAATATTTATGGATTGTCTTGAAGTCTGGTGTTTTGCCCAAAGGATAGCTGGGGAGTGTCAGAGGTTGGCAGATAGGAAAGGAAATCATGAACTCTTCATCTGTGAGAATACCATATGGCTATAAAAATAGCATGCAGAAGGAAAACAGGCTACTTGTGTGTGAAATGATTGACACTGATACTCTTTTTCTATCGGGAGATTTCATAGATCTTAAAAAGGATGTCTGGCCCATAAAGGAAATGTAGGTCACTACTATACATACCCTAGTCTAAGAGTTTATTATCAGTGTGGCAAGTCCTGATATGTTGTTGTATGCCTTCTGGTTGTTTCCAACGTATGGTTGTCATGGGGCCTTTCCACTTTCTCTTCCTGTGGCAGCCCTATGCCACAGCATAGGCTCTGCTTATTTGTTACTATGGGCCTCTGTAGACAGGCCCAAAGGGGCAGCAGAGAGCTGCCCCGGGAAGTGGCGGATCGGGGCAGAGGCTGCCGGACCGCATGGCCCCTATCCTCCCTTTTGCTGCCTGGAAAGGAGCGGCAAAATGGCGCTCCTTTTACAGGCGGCAAAAGACTGCCCTAAGAGCCGGTGCATGGCTCTTTAGTGCCCCTTCCTTTGGGCCAGTATGTAGAGGCCCTCAGTTTCTTTTTAAAGGCATTTACTTATGAATCCCAACTAATGGATGCAAGTGTTTTATTTTATGTATGTGCTAGTAGCATGGTTCCTTATTCTGGTTTTAGACATGCTTTGAATTGAACAATAAATAAACTTTATTTGAACAATAGTTTAAACAAGTGTTCCCTGATTGAGTTTCTTTATATTTGTTAAAGTTACAGTTTACTTGATACTCTCTCCCCAGATAAAATTGGTTATTTCCACTTAGGACATACACAGTCCTTGTATTATGTTTCCTTCTAAGCCTATTTCTATACTAGCCACCAAAGCTCACTAAATCCTACAAGATATCACAACACCACAAATCCCTCACTTGGAGTTCTGTACTGGAACTTAGGGCCTTTACAAACTGCCAGAAATAGTGCAAATTGAGTCCACTTTAACTGTCCTGGCTCAGTGCTAAGGAATCATGGGAACTATAGTTTATTGTGGCACCAGAGCTCTCTGGCAGAGAAGGCTCGATATCCCAGAAAAAAATACAGTTCCCATGATTCCCTAGCACTGAGTCAGGACAGTTAAAAGTGGACTCAATTTGCACTATTTTTGGCAGTGTGTAAAGGTCCTAAGTCCCTCTCTTCTGGACTTTAGCCCTAACAGTCCCTGTCTGACTCCAACTGTCAGCAACAGATTTTTTTCATCACCTCCAGCCCACAATTTGATTGGCTGTCACCATCTCTCCCGATTGGCTGTTGCTAGGGCTGGCACAATTCTGCCCTCTCTCCCTTAAAAAAAGTCATTGACACATACAAGCTACTTTTAAGTTTGTGTGTGTCAGTGAGAACCATATTTCATTCCTAAACATTTTATCAAGTTTTATACTTACCATATATATTAATACCAATAATAACATTACAGAATATATTATACATTTTTCATACTTACTCTATACTTACTATATACACATGACATCACTTTAATTTTTGATACATTGGGGTTTTTTCTTACCAATCCTCAACTTTAAATTTAAAGTTATTCTTTAAATATATATTTATTTTCAATGTTTCTTCTATGTATTATATTTTCTTATCACATTCAGCTTAGAACCTTATCATATTATTTATATTCTAGATATAAAACATGTCAGTTATGTTCTCAATTATTCTGATACATTCAACCTAAACTTAATTTTTAAAATATGTTTCTCTTAAACTCATTACCAACCACTCTCAATCTTCTAACCCCTTTCTCTTACTGGAGTGAAGATTGATAAAGCATTATCCTTAAGCACTTTGTCCCATTCCCAGTATGGGTCGGAAAGTTCCTCCTCCCACATTAGTCTAATGACATCTAATGACATACAAAAATACACTTGTTTTCCAGTCTATTATCTCATTTACACTGTCATCCAGGAATTTTCACTGGATCAGTTCTTGTGAACACCAATTTTTTTCTTTTCACCAAATGAAGAATCAGAACTTCATCTTCTAGTAAAATGTCTCTATTTCTCGCCTTCTTATCATACCAGGTGTTTTGTTTACTCTGAGCAGACTTTAAATTTTCTCCTGCACAACACAAAGCTTCACTTAAAGATGTCATCAAGTTCTGTACATATATCACTACACCTTGTGGCTCTTTTTCAACTGGATCTTCCCACTCATGTTGAATAATGTCCAAAGGTCCTCTCACTTTGTGACCAAACAATAGCTCAAATAGACTAAAACCAAGGCTTTCTTGAGGTACTTCTTTATAAGCAAATAGGAGATGTTGAAGCTTGTTATCCAAATCATTTTTATTCTTGCCTATATATGTCTTTATCATTCTGACTAGAGTCCTGTTAAATCTCTCCACCAGCCCATTACTCTTCGGGTGATAAGCTGTTATAGGGGGGTTGCAGACTGCCAGAAATAGTGCAAATTGAGTCCACTTTTAGGGTTAGGGTTAGGGCTAGGGAATCATGGGAACGGTATTTTATTGTGGCACCAGAGCTCTCTGACAGAGAAGGCTCAATGTCTCAGAAAAAAAACAATTCCCATGATTCCCTAGCACTAACCCTAACCCTAAAAGTGGACTCAATTTGCACTATTTTTGGCAGTCTGCAACCCCCCTTAGTCAGATGTTTAATGCCACAAGCTTCCCAAAGTTTTTGCATTGTTTTGGATGTAAACAAGCTCTCCAAATCTGTAATTATTTCACTCAGGAAACCTAATCTACGAAAGATGTTTACCAAGGCATTAGCAACAGTAGTGGATTCCATGTTTCATAATGCTACTGCTTCTGGATATCTTGTAGCATAATCTACTAAAGTAAGTATATATTTATTTTCCCTCTGAGTCATTTGAAGAAAGGGTCCTATTTTGTCCATACCTACTCTCTGAAAAGGCTGTGAGATCACTGGCATGGGGCAAAGCTCTGCTTTAGTCTTGTCTCTTCCTGTGCCCATTTTCCGACAAGTGTCACACAACTTATAGAAGTGTTTGATATATTTTCCTATTCTTGACCAATAGAAATTTTGAGATATTCTTTGGGGAGATCCCTTGATTCCTAAATGACCTACAAATGAGCTAGCATGAGCTAATTCCATTATCTTGTTTTATATTTCATAGGAAAAATTAATTATCTATGCATCTCTCTTTGAGTATTATGCTTGGCTTTCAAGGTTTCTCTGTATAATTTATGTTGTGTGATTTTGAATCTGTGAGGATGTTCCTCACTTACTTTCATCACTATTCTGATCTTGACTAAATTGTTAGCTTGTCTGTACCAATCACCTCAGTCAATCTCCCTCAGATTCATTAGCCATATTAACATCAAAACTTCCTCCTCCCTCCTCTTCATGTACTAGTTGGGTTTATTCTGAGTTTTTTCTTTCTTGTTGCTTAGTAGTAACTCTCCCAATTGGCTGTTGCTAGGGCTGGCACAATTCTGCCTTCTCTTCACAATGGTAACCCTAAAGCAAACCTATCAGGGGGTTTTCTGTGGCAAAATTTGTTCAGAGGGGGTTTGCCTTTGCCTCCCTTTGAGGCTGTGAGAGTGTGATTTGCCTAAGGTTACCTAGTGGGTTTTCATGGCCAAACATGGATTTGAACATTGGTTTCCAGAGTCATAGTCCAATGTCAAAACCATTAAACCATGTTGGCTCTCTAGACAATATAGGTGAACATAAATCCTTTCACAAGGGTTTCCTTGTTGAAGAAAATAAATTAGGGACTTTCTTTAAAACTAGGAAAAGTGTTCTTGAGATAAACCCACTTATTTCTTTGGTAACACTAGTAAAAGTCAGGAATGACACAGACTTTAATACTGGCTGTTGTTCAAGTATTTATTTTATATAAATGCATCTTCCACTATTAAATGTGTAGGTTGTTATCAATGAGCCTCGTGCCTTCTTGCAATGTGTAAACTTTCTCATGACCATGAATGGATATATACATGAGAACCAGGCCTTTTGAATTACAAATCAGTGTGCAAACATAGTAAATCTGTATGTTGCATGTGTGGTTCCCCCCCCCATTCAGAAACAGGAAAAAATATATACAGTAGGGTCTCACCGTCTGCAGACTTGCCATCCGTAGATCTGAGCATCTGCAGACAGCAAACCCTGTTGTTCTCAAGAGATGCATCCACTTGGCCACACTAGCAGCTCCGTACACACCATGCCACCATTGGGGATAATGGGACTTGAAGTCTCATGTTTTTTCTTGTCTGTAGGAGGGGGATCTGGCTCCCCCGCAGATATAAATATAATAATACAATTGGATGAGCACAAAAGGCCAGAATGGGGATATGTCTGGACTTATGTGTTAGTAATTACACTGTTAAGTGCTTAGAATGAAATGAATCATAACCCAAAAATGATTTTTTTTGCTTTGTATAGTTCTGAGGAATTTCTTTTTTAACATTGCATGAGCTCATCTTAAGTGAACATATGTTTTACAAAGCACCATACAGTTGTAAATTATCAATATCACTGCATTTCTGAACAAACACTTCAACATTCTGATATGTCCCAGATTATTCTCATGTTGGAAATGGAAGAATCTTAAACTAGAGAAATTAGCACCAAAACAGTTCATATAAAGCTCATGTGATTATCTTCAGAGAATCAAGCATTTGCTAGTTGGCACATTTTGTGTTATTTCTATGGACCATACAATCTTAAGCAAAAGATTAAGTGCAAGCATATGGACATCAACAAACTGCTCTATTCTTAGGAAAGAATTCAGAAGGAAAGTTTTTATAGTCTATATACTGTAGGCTCGCCAATTTCTGTCCTCAGCTTCATTTTGGGTCAGGCCTTTATCAAAGAAGAATTTGAACATTACCCTATTCAATTAATTTTATTTATTTCCATGATATAAACATGGATAAAAGTGCTCTGTTGGAAAAGCTTAATACATTTCCTTAAAAGCATGTATGCAAGCTGAGCTGACTTTCAGTGTATCAGGTATATTATACTAGGGAAACATGATGGTGAACATGCTCCACTATGGATCAATAGCTTTCAAGTGTTGGTCTGAGACTTAGATAAATAGGCTCAGATCTCTTCTTACCCAAGAATTTATATGTAGCCTTTGGCAAACTTCTGCTTCTTGACCTCACTTCCATGATTTATAAAACAGGAATATTAATGATGACAGGAATGTTGAGAAAATGTGTGAGATTAGTTTGGTCAAGCATATTAGAAGTGTTTAAGAATGATTAACAACAAAAAGTATGACAATTCTATCTGTTATCATCCAAAATGAGATTATTTCATTACTATGAAATTTGGTATGGAAGATTATAGAGGGGGGAGGTACATATCCACATTTATGAAAAACTGGAAGAAAGGTGAGGAAATGATACTTATTTGAGTGTAAGACACTGAGAAGATATCACAAAGGAGAAAGGTTAAACTACACCTCCCTCAGTGTCATCATCCTGGAACAATTCAGCACCCCCCAAGATGTTTTGAATCTCTGAACCTCATATATAGTTTGGGCTTATGTGTTCCAACAAATAAAATGAGCTGTATTTTCTTTGACAAAGTATGTGCTTGTCTTTCCAAATAAAAGAAAGATAGGAAATTTAAAAACATGGGAAAACAAGGCACCAGATAGGGAAACTACTCTTCCCATCAGTTATTTCACCACAAACCTTGACATTCTCCCTATTTACAGCACCATGTCTCAAGATGCTCAAAAGATTGGACTGATTTTTTTAGTAGAAAATCCCAAAACATTTCTGAACCAGGAACTCCTACACCATTTACTGGGCAGGAGGTCCTCGTCTAGAAATTTCTGAAGTTTGATTCTAGGTAGCTCCCTGAAGAAGCACATAGGCTGAAATGTGATGAGGTTTTATATTAATAAATAGAACATCTTTGGAGCATCTTGAGATGTATCTTTTGTTTCTTATAAGGATTCCAGTGGACATTTCCCAGTTTTTGCTTCTTTCATTGTCCTTTTTTGTCATTATAGTTGTCCTGTTGAATCCCACCAAATTCCTTATTGGAATACTCAACTTCAGTAGCCTATTCACTGTCATAGGCTACTGTGACAGTGTTTGTTTCTCTTTGTGTATTTTCTTTGTGTATTCTCTTTGTGTATTCATAACTCTTTCACACCATTTTGCTTCCTCAGAAGTCCCAATAGGAATATTGTTGGCTGCTGCTGTGCACCTGTATCACAGTTGAGGAAGGAAGCCCGAAACTCTGAAACCATGTTTCCCAACACATCATTCTTGGGAAGAAATCCCCTATATACCTAGTATTTTTTTTTTAAATGGCATGGTTAATTATCAGATTATTAATGTAATATGTACTTCAGCCTTTAGTAATCTCAGAAGGCAGAAGTAGAGAACATAGGGCCTGAACAGACCAGCCACAAGGGCCAGTCTGGGGATGGAGTTGTGGTGGGGCAACCACACACCAGTCACCCTGACTCTGCCCCAACACTACGGTCATGCTATGCGCCCCACTGCACGGCGCACAGTGTCAGGGTGCTCCATTGGCATAGCATGTAGACACGCTGCACCAACAGGGCACAGAAGAGCCATGGCGGTGGTCGTAAGGGTGGCTTTTTGCAGCTCCAAAATGGAGCAGCATTTGCCAGCTCTTTTTGGAGCAGCAAAAAGCCAGACCGGGGCCATGGCGTGTGGTTGCTGTGCCCCCATCTGGTGCTCCCAGGGGCAGCTCTGTGACCCACTGAGCCATGCAAACCATTGGGTGATGTTGGGCAAGTCGTATTCTCTCAGCCTCAGAGAACAGCAATAGCAAAACCTCCTCTGAAGAAACTGGCCAATAAAACTCCCTTGGCTTCCTCTCCACTGGGGGTGTTGGCCATCGTCCCCACCGATCCTAGAGCCCCTGGATTGCCTGGTCCCCTAGACACTAGGGAGCCCAGAGCTCCAGAGCCCCAGGAAGCAGCCCAGGGTGGCACCGATGACACATACATGTATGTCATATGGTTGACATATATATATGTAAAAAGAGATCGACTAGTGTGAATGACAAGAGTGTCAAAAAAGAAATGAATGAAAGGGATTTTGGAAATAATTTGCTTGAGAACTAGGTATCAGCCTCAACTGAATCTATGAACGAATGAAAGGGATTTTGGAAATAATTTGCTTGAGAACTAGATATTGGCCTCAATTGAATACGATTCACAAACCGGTTTAAATGTAAGTGGGAATGAGCCCTAGGCCAAGGTGGTCTAAGCATAGGACACTTGCTATGCAGACATGTACACTCACCATGCATATAGTCAACTCAAGAAAGCTAAGAATTCAAAATAGGAGTGTAGCTAAAAAGTGCTGACCTATAACAAGGCCAGGTAGCATGCTTCAACTATCACCTCCCATTTTTGGAGTCTTACATGGATGGTGGTAGTTTAGCAGTGGGAGAATAGTTTGGACCCATCTCTTTTGCTTGAAATAATGCCTAGCTTGTCATCTCCTGTATCTTTGATATCACCTGAGAGACATCTCTGTAGAAAATGGCAAACTGATGTGATCCTAGAAGTTTTTTGTTCAGTGGAAAAAAGTTGTGAGCAAGTATTCTATTACCAATGGGACAAAGAGGACTATTGATGGTGGCTTAATTCTAAGGTTCGAAACCTTGTCCAGCAGCACAGTATTGGCATTCATGCAATCTGCATTCTTTAATTTTAATACAGCAGGAACATTATCAAGGAAATACATATTGTTTCTCAGTAAATAAAAAAAAAAAGACTTTCACCACACAATGACTTTAGAAACTGCAAAGCAGGAGGGCTACATGTTAAATGATGTCATGGTACTTGAACAAGTAAGAAATCAAAAGCAACCAGATCCAAAAACCAGATTGAAATCAGAGGGTTTGAAATTTAAATATAGCTGGTAGGGTCATACTTTGAACATACAGTACCTCCCAAAACAAAGGATTAACTTCTGGTACTTTGGCACAAGAAGGACATTATCAGTTTCAAATACTTCTGTGGTTTAACTCATACATTTGTCGCATGACCACAACAATGAGGTTTGAAATGAGGTAGGAAAAAGAAAAGACTATTTTAACTGTTATCTTAAAACTCAGCATTTCATTGTGCACAATGCAAGTGTACTAATTACTTATATATTAAATCAAAGGGACAAAGCACTCACATTTCAATTGAAAGGGAAGTATAATTTCCCTCTCCTTTCCAGATGCCAATCTGGTACAAATTATCCAGAATACAAGGTATGTTACTATTATAAAGATTCTATATAGTAGTTACTGTTGACAATTTTGTGATATAATGAAAGAAGAGAAACTGGAGGGATAATAGCCATTTTGGCTTTCAAGAGATTACAAAATATGAAAGCAAAAGATGTATCTGGCTAAATTTTTTACATGGAAACTCACACAGTAAAATGAGCTATAAAGACATTTTCTTTACATTCTTGATCACCAAAACTTGCTTAAGAGTTACTAACACATTGCCAGGTTATTCATGCTGTTTGGCTTGAATGCCAGCACTACAGCAATAAAGAAATTTGTAACAGCTGCATGGTAATTTTTTTGCAGACTCTTTACAGTGCAAGTTTAGGTAAGTGCATTTCCTGCCAGATACCTGGGAAACCTCAGTATTAAAACTCCACTTAGTGAGAAACTCTATCTTTATTGTGAAAAGACAATAGG